TGGCTTTGTGGAAGAGGAGTTATACTTAAAACCCCCCAAAGGGTTACTTTAAGGCTAGTGAAGGGCAAGTCTGCCGCCTAAGCAAGAGCTTATACGGCCTAAAACAGGCGGGTTGACAGTGGAACAAGGAATTCACCTCAAGGCTCCAATCTATCAGCTTCACCAAGTCAGAGGCCGACCACTGTCTATTCACAAAAAGAACAAAAAGAAAATATGTTGCAATTGTGGTGTATGTTGATGACTTATTTGTCACTGGTCTTAATGAAGAAGAGATTTGTGAAGTCAAAAGCGCCATGAATGAAGCCTTCACAGTCAAGGACTTCGGCCAAGCAAGATACTTCCTCCGAGTCGAAATAGCTAGGTCAAAAGAAGGAATCTACATCAGCAAAAAAAAATACATCAGAGATATTTTACAAGATACAAAGATGGAAGATGAAAAAGGAAGCCATTTTTCCCTGCCTTCCGGACTAAAACTAAATACAGAGGAAGAGGAGATCCTACCTGATCCGGAGAGATATAGATGCCTAATCGACCGTTTACTTTATCTCAATTTCACCAGGCCCGACATAACGTATTCTACTCAACATCTCAGTCAGTTCATGCAACAACCCAGATGGCCGCACCTCGACGCCGCACTACACGTCGTCAGGTACCTAAAACAATATCCGGAGTAAGGCATCTTCTTCCCGAGAAAGAATGACTTCAAAGTATAAGCCTTTTACGACTCAGACTGGGCATCGTGCCCAATAACCCGCAAATCACTCACGGGCTTCTAATCTTCTTCGGGCCCATACTGATCTCCTGGAAAACAAAGAAACAAGCCACGGTGAGTAAGTCTTCCACAGAGGCCGAATATAGAAGCATGTCGTCTACGGTGTGTGAAGTTCAGTGGATAACCTATCTACTTCGTGATTTTCAAATAACACTCCACTTACCCGTAACATTGAACTGTGACAACAAAGCGGCCGAGTATATCACAGCAAATTTGGTCTTTTACGAACGAACGAAGCATCTTGACATCGACTGCCACATAGTACGCAACTAGGTTCAAAAAGGCTTCGTTGAAACAAAGCATGTCACCTCGAGGAAACAGCTCGCCGATTTGCTCACAAAGCCCTTAGGGACTTCAGCATATCATCGGCTTCTGTTCAAGATGAAACATCTAAGTTCTAAGAGTCAAAGAAGAGATGAGGAGGAACTCGAAGGGCCGAAAGCAAACTGACTTCATCTTGAGGAGCGGGTGAAAAGAATCAAAACGGGTAGGACAAGTGGACAGCCCAGATCAAAACCCTGAAATGAAGGGTTCAGATATTTTTTTATGTTTAAAAGTTAGATATAGCTGGTGGCCAATGACGTTTCCAGAGACCACCTTTATCCCTTATTTTTGTTTCCCTGTGTGTATATATATTCCCAAAATACTATTCAATAAAAATATAGAAAAACAATTAATGAGCATTAAATGCTCTCTATCCTACCCGGCTAATCTTCTTTACAGAGAAAATAAATGGCATATATAGTAAAATCACTTAATAAGTACACACAAAACGTACAATTCATATCTGAATTAACACTCTTATAAAAATAAACGAAAATATCTACCATCTAATTCATGAATCGACAAGTGATTGTTCTTTTCACATTAACTTTATCTAAACAAAAAATGTCTACGACAAACTTTTTGCTTCCATTAGAAAATGAAAGACTAATTAAATATCCCTGTAACATGTGTAATCTATGTACTAATTTGCTCACAATATTGGAAAACCATTTGAGATTTATCAATTACAAGAAACATGTGCTGAGCGAAGAAACTTCAACCTACGGAAGTTTCCTGGTGATTTCTATATTTTTTCTATATATACCAGAGCTTTATATATACCACCAGCTGTATATCCAATCGACTTAAGTAATCTAACCATGACTAAAACAAGCTTGGAAGAAGGAAAAAGATGGTTTGAAATGTCAAACTGATTAAGACCTTACTTGGAATTTTCATAGATATTTATGACTATAAATACAGGGAGTACTCCAGCACTAGCACGTAACAGAAAAGATTAGAAGAAGAAGAAAAATGGCGAGAGAATTGGTTTACGTTAGTGACCAAAGCAATGGAGGTTTAGGTTTTGCGATGAACAGCTCCGCAGGTGGAGGCTTATTCTTGCTTTTCATGGTGCTTGTCTCTTTTTCGCTTGTCTCGTTGGTCGTTTTCGTTTGTGGCGACGGTGATGATCAGAAACCTCACAAAAGATTTTCTGGTGGCGGTGGTGGTGGCGGAGGTTTCGGAGGTGGTGGTGGTTGCGGTGGTGGCGGAGGTGGTGGTTGCGGCGGCGGCGGCGGAGGAGGTTGCTGAGAACCAGGCTATTGAGTTCAGTGTTAATTTAACTCTGTAGTTACAGTTCAAGGTTAATATATATTAGGTCAGCATATCCACGTGTCATTAAATGGTATTATATATATATATATATATATATCTTCGTGGATCTCAAGATATATAGACATTTTCACAATTTTTTTTGTTGTTAATTCAGAATATTTTAATAAAATGTATGAATTTCATATTCTCTAAAATAATATTATTTAATTATTTAAAATATGATAAATTTTAATGATGTAAAATTCAAAATAAATCAACATGATAAAATTTTTTTACAATTTTATTTAAATATATAAAAAAAATTGATCTTATAGAAATTCTCGCTACTTAATCCGCTATCAAAAAAGATAATAACTAAAGTTATTGAAAATGAAATAACTAAAATAAAAAAACGACATAAGATTATACATTGATAAGTAGATCTACTCATTAGTTAATAAAAAGATAAAATAATTTCTCTTGAAATAAACATTTTTAATATTATTAATATAATTGTTAAATTTTTACAATAAAAATTTGATGACTTACTTTAGGTCACGTGAATAAAAATAAAAATAAAAATATTTTAATTTAAAATTATAATTATATAAAAAATTAATTAAAATTAAAATCTAAAATCTTAATTAAGTGCACTTACATGAAAAAATTAATTAAAATTAACTAGTTACAATTATATAAGAAATTAATTATAATTAAAATTAAAATTTATAACTATAATATATATGATCTTCCCCTTTTTCTTAGTTAATTGCTTCATTTCTAACCTCTTTCTATTATGTGTTTAAAGCAAGTTGACGAGACCATTATGTCATTGAGTTAATTGGTTAGACTTATTTTACTTTTTTTTAGATGAAGTCTTTTCTTTATAGTCCATGTTCATATTGCTTAACTTAATTAGCAAGTACAATTGGATTTTAATAATATATACATAATTATTTCAAGAAAATATAAATGGGTTGGAAAATTTTATAATTATAATTTTGTTCATTTCAAGTTCTATTTGTAACGACTCCGAAAATATTTAAAAGAAATAAATGATAATTAAAATGCAGAAACAAAATAAATTGTTAAGGTTTATATTTTTTACACAATAACTTAAGTATCAAATAGTACTACATGAATTACTCTTTTGGAGGAAATATACAAAAAATTTAAGGAAATAAACGAAAAATAAATAAAACTAGTATCCTACTTGCAACCCTCATGTGGATCGGGCTCTAGATTCTAGTCCTCTTGATATAAAATAGTTAAATAAAGAATGAACTATACTAGCCCAGTAAGAATATCGCACTACATCACCGACACAAAAAAAAGTTGGTAGAAAATTAAAACAACTAATGGAGCACTTAATTAAGCAAATTTATTTATCAATAATAAAACCATTTACCGTCCACTTATCATAATGAGATTTATAAAAACAATTTATAAAAATAATAACATTATATAGATCATGATTTCATATGTAATCGACAACATAACATATATATAAATTTATATTCATATTCAATAAATCAAACAACAACTGTCACTCTTTTTATCAGTCAATTGGTATCCATAGAAGTTTATAGGGATGTCTCTACTACACGTGAACCATTTTCTTTAACATTCTCAATTACGGGTCGTCCTCATACCCCGTCCAGTATGAGCACCCAATTACTAAATCTCAATACTTCGTCCGGTATGAGGATGAAACGGGCCGTCCCCATACCCTGTTTAGTATGAGCGCCAAATTATCAAGTTTCAATACTCGATCCGATATGAGACAACGTTCACGATAGGGTTCCCTATGTACCCGAGCCGTCCACCATCTCCTAGGATATCCAATAAGTCTAGCGTTTCATCCATTCACTTAATCACACAATTTTTTATTTTTCTTTTAACCTTTATTTTTTTTAATTTAGCCGTAAACACATAAAATAAATCATACACATATTCAAAGCCATAAAATCAATCAATAAAATACTATCATGCATTTAAACTGTAAAAACAATCAACAAAATAATAGTAGGTAATTTTTTATTCTGGCTCTATTAGCAATCTGTAATTAATTATAAACATTTTCTAAATTGTAAGAAAATATTATATTTATTGTTAATTAGACTTTAATTTTATAACAGAGAAGAAGATGAGAGATTCTAACTCAATTTGATACTTGAAAGGCTAAATTGCTAACTGTTTCCACTGGCGGTCCCCAGATTCCCTAAATTTTTCTTCAGGAAGTAAAATACGCTAAAGATATCTATAATGTCTCAAACAAACCCAAAATCAGTCTCAAGGCCCACTTTGGCCAATTCCAAAATTCTGGCATGGCGGCAGTCCGCCTTGGGTCGGTTGTTTTCGGTCATTTTTAGTCGAATTCGGCCGATTTTGCATCAATCCCTGCGAGAAAACATGTTAAGGGGTCTCGGTTGAAAGAACAAATATATGAAATCTGAATTCCTTGACAGCGGAGCTGTTCGGTGCGGTGACTCCGGTGG